TTCACATCAGCTGCTGTCCGGCCCAAACCCCGGGCCCCCTGTCTGCTCCCGGCTGCCAGGACCATGTCCCAGACAGACTCACTCTGACCAGCAGACCACCTCCCCCCTGCAGGTCCCGGGTTACGCTCACCTCAAAGTCCCTCCTGCCCAGAGGGGACAGTGGCCCGGCTGGGACCGGACACGCCATCCACGCAGGTCCAGCCTCGGCGCCCCGGGACCTCCTTGCCGCGTCTCCTGTAAACACGCCGTTCCCGAGGGGAGCTCTGGGGCGCCCACTCTGCGTGTGACTGGACACCTCTCCCGAGGGCGCTCCTGTCCTGTGGTCACGCCTGCCCGCAGCCAGGCGGGAGAGCCCAGGTGCCTCAGGAGGAGACGAGTCCTCTGCAGACATGGTGTCGAGGGGCCCAGGGCCAGTGTCCCCGCGAGGTCATCTGTGGTCCTGCCGAGGGCCGGGCCTCACCAGCACACGCCCCGCACAGCCCGGATTGTGGTCCTGCCGCTCCCTCGGCAGAAGCATGTGGCAGTGGCCACTTCTGGTCAGACCCTGCCAAACCTGCAGCCGCCCGGGCTCAGGGAGGGGCCGGTGGCTGCCAGGCGTGGCTGTCTGCAGGTGCCACACCTGGCCAATGGGCAGGATGGTCTCCTGGATAGGAGGCGCAGTCTTAGCGTGTCCCCGGGACTGGGGCATCGCCACAAGCCTCAGGCTGCCGCCCCCAGGGGTTCCCGAGGCAGCAAGAACCTAAGTTGGGGAGACCCCCTTTCCCAAGCTCCCTGGCAGCTGCTGTTTCTGCTTTGGGGAGCCAGTAGCCCCTGTGTAATGGGGTGTGGGCAGTGGGCAGGGGTTCTCCTAGCACCGCTGGGGACCATGGGAATTCTGGGACGCGGGCCTGCTGGTCCATAGAGGGGCCCCTACCCCCACCACTCCCTGCTGGGCCCTGGGATCCAGGCTGAGGCCTCTCCGGCCCTGCCCACTGCCTCGGTCACTCTCACCCTCCACAGGTCAGGAGTAGCCGCGGTTATTGAGGCGTCTGTCCCCACCGAGGTCCCGACCTAGAGAAGCAACCCCAGATGGTTCAGGGGCCCACTGTGCCCCTAAAGCTCCCTCGTACACAGCGGTGGTGGGGTCTCCTGAGAAACTGGACGCCGAGCTGCTAAGGCCCACGGCAGGACGGGTAGGCGCGTCCGCAGGAGGGGGCAGTAAGAGGGCTGGGCAGTAAGAGGGCTGAGGTGCTGAGCACGAGGCCACCGTGACCAGGGGAGCCGGTGCCAAGGGGCTGAGCCGTGCCTCAGCTTCCAATGGCTCCTCAGGGCTGCGTGTGGGGGGCACAGAACTGACGCCCCGCAGG